GTCAATCACCAGACTGTGGTGGGTATATTATCATTAAAGTGTGTGTGTCACCACCACACACACACCACACACACATCGGGGGAGCATGCCCCCGGACCCCGCTAGAGGAGGTTAGGTCCCCCCTCCTACTTAAATCATGTTCACATGGATAGGATACTAAATACATTTGCACACATCTTGTGTCCATATCTTTCTGTTTTGGTGGTCATGCCACACCGTGCACGTGCATGCATGCGCGAGTCATGGTAAGATATCTGGATTAAGAGGTTGCTTATTCTTTGCACAGCATGAAAGAAAGGCCAAATGAATTGGCTGTGATTTTAGTTTTTTTAAGCAGAGGTTGAGTTCAATCATTTGTACGGCCCTCGGAGGATGTTGTAAAAATTGAAAGGAAAAAGGTTCCCCTCCCCTGCTGTAAATAATAATAAAAACCCTTGATTTATAACTTAACATCTCTGTCTCCTATTGATCTGAGTATATTACAAAGAACAGTTAATTGAAGCATTATAGCACAGGCCTTTGTCAGATGGTATATTACGCAGTTTTTTTCCTGCTTCGAATAGTTCTCTCTTTTTTCACCATACCTGTGTTTGCATCACTGTAAATAGCAGTACAAAAGTAATAACATACAACATGTAATTTAAGTAGACAAAAGTGCAAGTACCAATCTTGCTTTTCAGAATCATTCATATATTATTGTATCATAATTATTGATAAACTATTGTGAACATTTATTTTATGGTGCAGCTGCTAAAGCTAATTTTAATCATTCATATACTGTTAGCTATAGTATAGCTTGTTTTTCAATTGCTAAGCATTCTGCAAAAGATTCTCTCGATCAAGATGAAGTTCAGACTTGTAGTTTTTACCTTTTTTTTTGTATGCTGGATTTGTATCCCAATGACTAAAACAATGATATGCCTACCCCAACTTTAACCTATAATAGTACATCATAATTTCCTGGTTGATTATATTGTGTATTAATAATCTAGGTAGTAACTTATTTTTATCAAATAAATATATTGTATTAGAAAGTAAAGTAATGTAAATAGTGGAGTATAAGTATAAAGTAGCCGAAAATGGAAAGGTTCTAATTGTACTATCTTACATTACTTGAGTAAGATACATTTATTTGAATCACTATTGTACAACCCAAAAGTTAAGCTATAATAAGGTCTCGGTAGACTGGATTGGAAGGGAATAGTTGGAAGGGAATAATTGGCAAGTGAGAAACAAAAATGTAAGAAAATATTAATAAACTAAACCCAACTGGACAACACGTCATAATTGGATTAATTAATTAACTTTTAATTGAAATGTCACCTTGGCTTCTACAAGTGAATCATATATGTGTTGATTGTTGTTAATCATATTTCTGGTTCACTGAATTTGCTGAAACAAACCGTTGAGCCAAAGTTGAAAGATATGTTACAAAAAGTAGTTTAACAGTCCCACTGTGTCATCATTTAAACTTTACATTAGGAAATTGTTTATTGAGAATAACTTGAGGAACAATCAAGACATGAATGCCAAGTAACTGAGAGATATGGAGGTCTGGGTTACTAAAAGTAAAAGTTTGTGCCTCGTTCAAATGTTGGTTGGACAAGTAAACAGTAGTTCAGTGGCATTACACCCAAATAAGCCAAAAGTGAGAGGTTAACAATGTATGTTAAATAATTGGATACAATTCCTGCAAGTGGATGACAACCTGAATAACTAACACATAGTTAATGTATTCTAAAATGACAACAGTCATCGTGCTGACCTTCTCTGTAACAAATGTGTAATATAAGTAATTATTATGCATCAGACTCCTTAAGAAAAGCTGGTAAACATGTTGACGAATAAGAAACTCATTAGTATTCATGGTGATTCAGTGTCTGGAGGTTTAGCTGATCTGTGTGTGTGTGTGTGTGTGTGTGTGTGTGTGTGTGTGTGTGTGTGTGTGTGTGTGTGTGTGTGTGTGTGTGTGTGTGTGTGTGTGTGTGTGTGTGTGTGTAGAACTCAGGTCTGGAGACAGAGAGCGTCAGGACTCTGGCTCACAAACTCGGCGCCTCGGCCAAAAACCTGCAGAACTTCATATCCGGCCGCCGTCGCAGCAGCCAATCAGAGAGCAGGTCCTCACGGCGGCTTCCCAACGATCTGCTGACCTCCGTGGTCGACCTCATCACCGCTGCCAAGAGCCTGCTAGCCTGGCTGGACAGGTACAATGCTTATATACTTGCTTTGTTCCTCTTCAACATTCAAAATCCAAGGCTATATTGTCATGTGCACAGTAGCTAGTCCCAGGCTCCTCCAACAATGCAACATGAATATATTTAGGATATAAAAGAAATACAACCAATGAACCAATACAAATAGTGAAAAAAATAACAATAGAAATAAAATAGTGCTTGTAAACAGATGTAGTAAACATGCAGGGTTTTTGTTATATTACTTTTGTTATGTCAGCAGGATAACTATTTTCAAAGAAGGAATGAGTGTTACATGTAAAAAATGCCAGTTGTATGTGATTTCTTTTACTGTTACATGTCAAAATGAATTCCAAAAAAAAGGCGACACAGGTGCTTTAGTGGTTCATTCATTCAGTTTGTACCCAGATAGAAACAATTGGCGTGTAGCTCAATTTTAATTAGCTGCATTTGTTATACTTGTGTTAATGTAGGATTTTATGTAGATGTAAAATCTGGTTTATGTCAATTCTATGGTGCTTTTCATCAAAATGGGAAGTATTGCACAAAGTCTGGTAACTTTTTGAATAAAAAGTAGAAGGAGGCAGTTATAGTTTGGTTTGGTTAGCGAGGAAGGTGCATATTTTTTGACCACCTTTTGTAATTTATGATAAGCTTCAGAATAATTATTGTTATTTAGTAACTACAACAAGTGATGTTGTAAATATATGATATGTGAAGTGCTGAAACGACTAGCCAACTGCTCAAGGCAGAAATGTTTATTATTGTTTGACATAAGATAAGGTTAAGTGAGCCTTTACTGATATCTGGAGGGGAAATGTGTGTTGCAACAGCAGCAATTACAGACGAATAGAGAAAGACACAGAATCATTAATAATTAATTTAGTAAATGTTTGAGATAAAAAAGAAATGGAAACTCTACAAGATCCAGTTCAATTGAACAAAACCCATTCTAACATAGCCTAATGCAGCAATCTAACAATAATGATATGCAGCCTTGATGTATTAAATGCTTTATTTGAAAGGGTTATTATTCTTCCCTCAGTTGATCCAGCACCTGTAAAAGTTTCATATTGTTGCATGTTCAAAAGCTCCAATGCACAAAACACAAACTCTCTTGCAGCTGTTGGTTGTTGACATCTTTTATGAAAGACATTTTTCTCTCTCTCCCTGTTTCTTCTTCTCTCTGTCACTTCATTTATTCATGACTCGACACAAAGTCCTGCACACGACACATGTCAGATAGGAAACTAAAGGTCTTTGACATCGGCTTCTCGAAATGCCAGGCACCCACATCTGTCCTTAGGCCACCGAGACACACAAAAGCATAAAGCCACGTCCAGAAGCACTCAGACCCATAGAAACACCCACGCACTTTGTACATAACACAAACATTTGCAGGCACACTCCCCACATCTGCACACACTGACACACACACTGACACACACACACGTTCGCCCACGCCTGATGATGCAACTGTAAATGGCAAAGCGACATTCAGAAAGTGATAGACTCAGCAGGGCCGGAGCTTCATGCTCTCTATTCTTCATTCCTGAGATATAGCTATGTGTTCAGGCACTGTCAAATACTCCGTTTGATCTCTTGACCAAACAGGAAGAAAAGCATATCTTCCATCGGGCACACTGGTGAAATGAACAAAATAACGTATATAATCCCAACTGAGCTTTTATTCAAATGAAATCTCATCTCCTAAAATGTGGTTTCTTACTGCATGGCAAAGGAGCGAGTAAAACAAGCCTGCATTTTAGATGAGTGGTGGAAAGGATGAATTCAGAATTCAGTAATAGATCCTAATGATGGTTAGGGTTTCCAAGCTGGGCTAAATGTTTTCCGATATTAATACCCATAAGAGGGCTTACTTCTAGACTGTTTATCAGAATGCTGACATTAGCACAAACCATGTTAAAGCTGAAGTGTTATCTCCCACTGTTAGCTAGCTAGACCTCCCGAGGATGCAGAAACGTGCAACATCAGTTAAGATCTGGGGAGAAAATGTGCAGCATATTCCCTCTAATGACTTCAGAAGTCATTTTGCAACCTTTTGTATTAAGTAACAGCGTGGGTAAAGCACAGATCACCTTATTCCTGCCTCTGATACTCTAATGTGTCCTTTTTTTAATCCCCACGCAGACATCACATTAAATCTGTCAGGGAAAAAAGTTACATTATTTTTCCATGATTACTAAAAGCATCTTCTTCCTTTGGACTCTTCATTCCCTCTTTGAATTAGTAACTTGGCCACAGAGACTACTAGAGTTTTTAGAATATGTTTTGCTGATAGCATAAAAGTGGCGGTGTTTATCTTTTTTTTAGTTTCAATCAATTTAGTGAATAAGCAGCAGACTCTACATTTTGAACAGAAATATGGGGGGTAAAAATGGGTTGTATTGAGAGAATACTACAGTGGAGCTTTTTTTACCTGAAACTATATTACTTTTATTTATACCTCACACATTTGGACGCCACCAATGTCATAATATTATTTTAAGATTTCCTGGAGTATTCTACGGTTTGATCCTGACGTGTAGCAAACAATCCCTGTAGCCTCAGGTTCTGCGTAAATATAGCACACAGCCTCAATACTAATGACCCAAATCACACACAAACCACAGATATAGCATTCACGAGAGGCTGTGGCTGAGTTTTAATCTGGGTCTTTAGAGCAGCACAACGTCTGTGTGTGTGTGTGTGTGTGTGTGTGTGTGTGTGTGTGTGTGTGTGTGTGTGTGTGTGTGTGTGTGTGTGTGTGTGTGTGTGTGTGTTGTGTGTGTTTGCACTGTGGTAAGTGCTTTCCCTTAAGTAATGATCCTTTTTGAGATAACAGTCATTTTCTTTTCAAGCTACTTTGTACTTCAGATTCCACTACAAGGGAAATGTTGAACACTTGATCTGAGCTAAAATATTATACTATGAAATCATAATCCCGATTATCTTTGGTCAATAATTGATATCACGATTATTAAATACGATTATTAATTGGCTTTGAAAACATCAATTTATTGAACTTTCAAACAAATACAAATAATAATTTGAACAGTATCTTTTTAACTGTTGATTACCCTGAACGTATAATTCAACTGAAAAACCAATACAAAAATAAATGATACATTTATATCTACATTTAAATCAATAATATCAAAAATAATAAATACAAATAAACAATATCAACAAATATTTTGGCGCGCACTTCCACAAGCTACTAAACATATATAAATATGAAAAATAAATTAGATCAAATATGTTGCAGTGCACTGTCACAACCTAGCAAAGCAAAAATAATTGTTGAATACTTTCTGTCATTAAGCCTGAAGGTGCATTTATTATGATAATGACTTTTAAGTAACACTGTTAGTGTTAATGTCTCTGTGTCTGTATGCAGTAATTAGCACCAACATGGTTCTTATCGCTAACACCTTGTTCACACCTGAATAGTCTATTATGTTACAACCGACCCGGTGCCTCATTTGTAAACATTGTGTCGGTACAAAAAAGGGTTTTAAAGACCCTCTCCTATCAGGACAAAAAGATGCACACATCAGTGGAAACTCTATGCATACAAAATGTGGGAGACTTTGGGAATGAATGGTGCCAATGTCAAAGAAACATAATAAATATACAATAGTCTAATAACCCTCCTCACAGCTAATATCTCTCAACAGCATGAACCGTTTTGTTTTGGTTTGTTTGTTTCTAAAATTACAAATAGTCAGTAGAGGAGTTTAAATTGGTGCTCTCAGGACAGAATGGCTTAGTACCTTGTGCGCTAATGCATGATTCATCTGTCCCCCTTTCCTGTGTGGTGGAACATTACTGATGCATTTCCACTTTTCTGCTTTCTCTCGTATCTAAAGATATTTGAATGGGTTTGGATTTAGGAGCTGCTACTAATTTGTCTTGTTTTTTAGCCTGTAGCCTTTCATTCACTTGGATGTATTTGTTTTCTTGGTCGCAACAGAGCTATTGACCTAAAGAGCAGCTGCAAACTGTGCCATTGTTTGTAAAGTTTCATATTTTGCATAAGTAGGTTTTACTTTTCAAATGTTCACATGTCTGTTGACGACAATTTGCTGTTTAAACCCTTCCTATTTTTGCACATCAAAAAAACAAATATGCATAATCTGAAGTCCATCAACTTTCAAAGTTAACTACAGGTTTAATTCCTTACTTTATTCAAGGGGTGTTAATATTCTTCTAATTTACAATAACAGTAATGAGACAATTAGTGGATTAAATGATTGAATCCTTCAAAAAAACGAACAATTTGGATTGTTTTTTATTTCAGTGAGTACATTTTCAAGCAAAAACTCCAACATTCTCTGTTTACAGATTCTTCATTTTGAAGATTTTATGCTTTTAATTTAACGTAGTTGTAAATGAAATATATTGGAGTTGCAGCCCAGCTAGCACTGATAGTGAACTTATTCGTTTTTAAGTCTTACATTATCACACACCTTCCAGATACTAACAACACATACTAAAAACCTTGCTCGCCATTGGTTCCAGTAAATTAACAAATAAATGAAAATGTAACCAAAATACTTTAGATAGGAACCGTTTTCTTGACATTTAACAACCAAAAATAACAGAGATAATAAATAATTAAAATGTCATACCTGCTTATGATAAACCCCCTAGTGTATTCAATGTTCTAGCTCCACATACAACTCCTCACATTTAGAACTCACCAACAGCGCCATTCATGAATAAGTGGTAAAACAAATTCTTCTAAATGTGTGTTCTTGTTTATGTGTGTTTATGAGTATCTTTCTCTCTTAACAACGCTCCTTTCAATCCCCCTGTACTTGATCTAATGCAGCAAAGACATTTTGAGACATCCTGCTGTGTTATCTGTTCCTCCCAGGTCTCCCTTTGCTTCAGTGGCAGACTACTCAGTAACCCGAAATAATGTCATTCAGCTCTGTCTGGAGCTCACCACCATTGTACAGCAGGTGTGTGTAATTGTTTGTGTGTGTGCGTGTGTTTTAAAGGCTGATAGCTTTTGGTTGTCATAAAATGCTGTGTGTGGGTGTGATGCAGCAGCCTTAGACTCACATCCCCGAAGCAAGACTCAATTATTTGCTATGTAAGCCCTTACAGTCTGTCTTTTGTGTGACTGATATGTGTGTACCGGTAAATCAAGATAAATGTGTCTGTTTTTGTGGGCGTTTTTATACTAGGGTATAGAAGAGTATGCAGGTGCAGGGTTCAGTAATGTGAGGCTCAGACAGTATACAGAGCATTTTGACAGCGTATGTTTCTGAGCATTTGCAAGACAGGGTGTTCTGCTCGCGCTACATTAAATTCTGCTTTCCCCCCAGGACTGTACGGTGTTTGAGACAGAGAACAAAATCCTTCATGTGGTGAGTCCTGCTTCCTCAGCCAGTTGTCACTTATTTGCTCTGCATGCATGGGTGGTAGTGTCCTGTTTTATTAAAAATGTCCCACATACCCTTACTCCTAACTCTGCAATCACCAAAAGTCAAGCTTCAGTTGGACCTAGTAGTGCATTTTAAATGTACATCTTGTAGTATTTTAAAGCAATAGTTTTACATTTTGGAGAAATTGCTTTTTTGCAAAAACTCAGACAAGAAGATCAATATCCTTCTATTCAATTTGAAGCTACAGCCAAGAAGGGATTATATTAGATTAGCATGAAGTCAGGAAAGAAAGTGAAACAACTACCATGGCTCTTTCAAAAGTTTGAGAAAACAGCAAGGGGCAGACATCACCCAGTTAATCAGTGAGGGCGCAGCTAAAAAATGTATAGTTCTTCCTTCTTTTTGAGTTGAGAAAAGATGTTGTTACGATCTGAGGGTTACACAAGTAACCAGTTTACCATATATTTTTAAGCAAATAAAAAGGTAAATTCTTTATGTAAAGGGTTATCTAAATGGTTATGATGAGATTGCATTTCGGCCGTTGTTTTTCACCTAATTTTGGTACAGACTGACCGTTTGTCTGCATTAAACCAAAGTCTGGTTGCGTGATTGGTCAGTACACTGGGACTACCAGCGGTAACATTAATACAGTCCTGTATACACATCATTGAAATGGCCTTAATGATTGTGTTACATATTTGGAGTGAGATATATGAGTGAAGCAAAACAGACAGATGGAGAGTTGTATTGATTTTCTCATCAAACTCTTTGCATGATAGCAAATAAATATTGTCCAAAATGTGCATATCTGCCCAGGAATATATGAATCTGTACGGTTTTAGCTTCCAATAAAATGGATGTATAAGACATTTAAAGAAGGCAGAAGTAACAAATCCTTCCAGAATAAAAAGTCCCTGTTACCTTCTTGGATCAATGGTTCCCCTAACAGTAGGGCTGCTCAATTAATCGTATTTTAATCGCGATTACGATTATGTCTTGCAACGATTACAAAAACAACGTAATCGAAATAAAACGATTATTTTATATATATATTATATATTATTCTTATTACCGGTACTTTTTCTTTTTTTTTTTAATAATATATATATATATATTTTTTGAATTATACTTAAAGTTCAGGGTAATCAACTGTTAAAAACATACTGTTCAAATGTTTTTTCTCCAATAAATGGATGTTTTCAAAGTCAATGAATAATCGCATTTAATAATCGCAATTACAATTATTGACCCAAAATAATCAAGAATATGATTTTTGCCATAATCGAGCAGTCATTTTGACTTGTCAAGTACAGGTGTTACTAATACAAACACTAATCACTGCATTACATTGCAGTAATTGAAGGGACAGGGCCCTTGTTAATGTCATTAGTTCCACCTGCGCCTCTTCCTGTTATGGCAAGTTGACCTTTCTGCAATAGAAGAAAGGTCTGTGACAGTGAGAGAAACAAACAAGCCAGCAAGGGTGTCCAGTTTCAGGTCGGGTAAAATGTATTCTGAAAATGCTCCTGAAGAAAATAAAAAGCTGTGGTGCGAATGGAGGAATACTCCAGAATATCATACGGATGATGTTGTATGTTACTGAGGTCACTATGAATATCATAGGATTCTTATTCAAATGTGTTTCGAGCCAACACTGTGGATTATCAAGGAAATGATGTCCGCTGTCTTGATTCTACCTACCGGTACTTTCTACCAGGGTCCCAAAAACCGTCAACAGCATTCAAGTTCTGTTTGGTTAACACCTGCAATATAATTCTGAGAAGGTAGATATTTCAGAGATGGAGGTTTAAAAGCACTGGACAAGTAAAAAGAAAACTAAATGCATAACTAAGTACTTGCTGCTCGGGGGAAATCATGTTCTTTTATTGTTAGTCAGGCAAACAAATCCTACAAATGCTACAGAAGGCACCAGTAATAAACCATCACTGTGTTAATAATGGCAGATTCCAATCTGAGACATTGTATTTATATTAGGAAAGCAAATATGTTTATCTCCTCAGTAAAACCCAAGAGCAAACCACAAATAAAGAAACAAAATATGTGGTCTACGATTGACAAAAACAAGTCTTTATCTCTGTTTTTTTTAAAAGCACCACTGCTGAACCTGTTTTATAAAAGCTCTGTGTGTTGTTATTTGTCTTCTCTCATTTTCTTCTTCTTCTCTCTAGTGCAAGACTCTGTCAGAGGTGTGTGAGCACATTGTGTGTGTGTCATCTGACCCGCTTGTTTCTCAGTCAGCCCACCTCGAGCTGGTTCACCTCACCAACATCAAACCCTCAGAAGGCCTGGTAATGACTCTTGTGTGTGTGTGTGTGTGTGTGTGTGTGTGTGTGTGTGTGTGTGTGTGTGTGTGTGTGTGTGTGTGTGTGTGTGCGTGGTGCGTGCGTGCGTGCGTGCGTGCGTGCGTGCGTGCGTGTGTGTGTGTTGTTTATATTTGTTATATCTATATGTTTGCCTCTGTGTACAATGGCATTGTTATAGGATAAGGAACCTATATGACTTTATAGAATTACATTTGTATTCAATCTTTTATTCTGTAGACTTGAATCAAATTTTGATTAGATGTAACATATTTGCCAGGATATAAGAAAATCCTGATATTGACATTAATATGGCGCCTTTTGTTCATTTTTATTATATTATATTGCAGAATCCAGACAACTGCTTAACAACTATTTGATAATGATTTTTGGAAAAACAACGTTTACAAGATTACAATTCCTGACACATTTAGAGACAGTATGTTTTAGAAATGTTAGCCCTTTCAATGTGGATCCAGTTTCCAGTTATCTAGGTTTGTTAAGTTCCATTGAATCCCAAACCTTTTATTATGTCTCATTTCTTTTCTCAAAAAGCAATAGTTAACATATTGCAGCTTCTGATTTTAGCACACTGTGTTCTTAGGCTGCTTAAAATGACAGGCAGGTTGTGAACATTATTTCGGATGCCAGTAAAAACGTTAATGTTTCTGCTCTTCCAAGGAACAAAAGGTGAAAATACATTTGCGTTTGAGTTATTTTAGCCTTTAGTCATTGTTGACAGAAACACCTAATGAGATACGATAATGCATTTTGAAGGATTCAGATGTTATAAGTGGATAAGATGCTGGAATTGAATGTTAAACAATTGCAATACTTCAACTACTGAGCAAAACTTCCTTCTGTCCATCAGGGAATGTACATCAAGTCAACCTACGACGGCCTCCATGTGATCACAGGAACTACTGAAGGGGTAAGAGGATTAGAATCCCATTTTCACACTTCCACAAACTAAACCACAGCCAAACAGTGTGCTTTATCTGTGGCAAAAACAAAATGCTTTTCACAAACATCAATGAAGAGGATTTCACACCACACCAGGGGTTGTAGTGTGTAGAAAACGGAATCTCACTCCAAATATATTCAACATTTGGTTTCCAGTCCAGAGGGAACACTCTTTTTCCAGCAAGTTAAACTTCAGTATGTTGCACAACTTGCCTCCACTAGTATGCAGGGATCAATACACTTGGATCAATTAATCAGTATTTCTTTTCTGTCTCTGTAGTCACCAGCTGACCGCTGTAAGAAGATCCATGCAGGAGATGAAGTCATTCAAGTCAATCACCAGACTGTGGTGGGTATATTATCATTAAAGTGTGCGTGTGTGTCGTGTGTGTGTGTGTGTGTGTGTGTGTGTGTGTGTGTGTGTGTGTGTGTGTGTGTGTGTGTGTGTGTGTGTGTGTGTGTGTGTGTGTGTGTGTGTGTGTGTGTGTGTGTGTGTGTGTGTGTGTGTGTGTGTGTATGTGTGTGCGTGTGTACTACGATATCTTCCACATTTCTTATATATGTTGTGTGCATGTGTTTGAGAGCATAAAAGTGCACTTCTTTAACATAAACAGTGAATTTACATTTCTCACATAGGTATGGTTAATTGAATGGTAAAGGACGATTCCTTTTATATATCCACATTAATAACTCAATAATTAATGAAATCTTTGTTTTACTTTACCTTCTGTCGAATCAGGAGTTGACTCTGGTTGCAATTATCTGTCTAGAATTTAGTAATGTCTGTTTACATCTAAAATGTAGATTGTGCCCTTATTTGACACGGTGCAAATGCACAAAGCATGTTGCATTGCAATTAAAACAATCAGAGCCTCTAATCTTCTCTGCACCTCTTTTTGCATTTTGATCAGATCTCAAGTCAATCCGGTAAATTAAATTAAGATTGTGTGTTTGCCTTAATTAGAATTACTTAAAGATCAAAGAGAAAGAGCTGGGAACAACACAATGTTTTCATGACTTCAGAGTAGCCATTTTAATGTGTGTGGAGTTTTGTTATTTACGAATATCCAATATCAACAATGTTGGCCTGGTTTACTAAACAAAAAAGAAGAGAGAGATATTATAAGATGCTTTTGTTTTCAAATTGAAGGGCAGGTTATATCATATGACAGCTCTATAGATAGACGTACCACCTCCACACCCACTTGATTTGCACAAAAGGCTGAACAAGCAAGATCCAATCACGACTTGGACAGAACTCAAACTGCAAGCTGAATACAAATATAATGCTGTGATTGTTGTTCATTATCCAGATAATTATAACTGCAAGCGGTTACCCTCTCAAATCCACAGGTGGGCTGGCAGTTACGCAACCTAGTCGGCTCGCTGAGGGCAGATAAAGGCGTCGTGTCCCTGACCCTGAAGAAGCGTCCACAAAGCACGCTCAGCTCTGCCCCTGCTCTGCTGAAAAACATGCGCTGGAAACCCCTAGCACTGCAGGTGGGGCGAGCTCTACCTTTTATAGACTTTATTAAAACACTGGTCCACATTACTCCCCACAGCGTTCCCACTCCCCGCACAACTGCAGCCAAAGTGTGTAATTAGGTCAGAATTCTGTGTCTCAGAATGGTGTTGTTTGCCAGGTGAACACTGGCATGAATGCTAGGAGAGAATTGATGGCCACCTCCACACATATTCCCTGTGTGCCCCGCAGTTATATAATGGATATCTGTAATTAACGCTGATTATCAAGAGGAAACACACAGGACATCAATTATCCCCTGCTCTGCATCTGTGATGGTTCACTTTTTTACAGTTTGTTCATAAGCCTGTCTACTAGAAATTATTTTATACTACTAATTGTACATACATTTTAAAGGCAATGTACAACCTACCTACAAATATGTTTTTGTTTTCTTGGCACAATCTTGTACAGATTTGTGTTGGTAAGACAAGGCAAGGCAAGTTTATTTATATAGCACCTTTCAACACAAGGCAATTCAAGGTGCTTTACAAAAATGAAAGACATTCAGACAGAGGCATTTAAAAACAGTCATTAAAAAGAAAAGATAATAAAAGAAACATTAAAAGAAAAAAATACATGAAAAACCACACTTCAAACCTGAATGACAAATACAAGCTTCTTTGTGTCCTTAGACAACGAAATGCTTAATCAAAGAAGTAAACATTCGTTTGTTTGCCTAAGCATAGCCATAAAGTCGTCGATCATCTTTTACTTGTGTCAATCAACATTATGCAGATACACTCAGTATCTGTATATTTTTACGACATGGCAGATGTGTTCATTAAAACTGTTTTTGTCAATGTCTGACTGCATAAGAAACACAAGAGGACAGGTTGTAAACAAGCAGTTTAATCCAAAACACTTTATAAGGAGCTACAGTACAACCAAATATAATGGCATCCCAAATGTCTGAACTGAATCAAATTAAAGCAGTTTAAGTTGTTCTGTGAAATTGTTTATTTAGTACAATTTGGCCAAATGTAATTGATCTAACCCAGTGTTTAGTTTAAAACCTGTATCTTGCATCAGATTTATTTTTAATGATTTCACCACAACCTTAACAAGTTTGTTCATTATTGGGAAGCTAAGGCTGCTAACTGCCACCGCGGTACATAAATGGCTTGGGTTTATTTTGCTGCCAGTTGGTCAGCAGCGTTATGTTTTCAGGTTGTCAGCCTGTCCGTCCCAATCACGTGAATGCTTATTACAGTTTTTCTCGATTGCTAACACACATTTTTTTTTTAATTGCTCAGTTTCTCAGATTGTTTGACCACCCAACTACACACTGCTGAGCATCATCTAAAGCACTCTCATCTGTTATGGGCTATTCTCTGTACATAGAAGTTTCTGCAGAGAAAGATTGCTTGCTTATACAGAAATACAGTAAATGAAGAAATACAAATGACTTGTTGAAAACAAATCACATTTTATTCAAAAATCACATTGTGCAACATGCACACAGCTCATAGTTACTATGCTTCGGATCTCTCTAAGTGTGATGGCATTGTTTGCCAAAACCCAGTTTGTAACTGCTGCTTCCTGTGCCTCATTGGAAATCCTTAGCCTTCCACCTGCACCTCTTTGTTTCTCAGTCCTTCAGATAAACAACACAGATATAGTGGTTGGTCAGTGTCTGTGTTGCATAACAGTAAGTCTACCACAGTACATTGTGCAGGATGTTTGTACAGTTATAGTCTGCAACATGCCAACAATTCAATTACAGTAATGAAGTAAATACGTTTCACACAACAGATATAAGCACTGATATATCATGAATTATGCAGAGCTACAAACTGGTAACTAACCTGTTTTCAAGTCTATGTGTCCGGATTACAGAGGCAACAGTAAATCGGCTTAGATTAGGCTGAACCCTGTGTCCAGCCTCTCTCATCGACAAACCATGGTCTCTCCCTCCAGCTCTACCTCTACCTCTCATTCCTCCTCCTCTCACTCTCACCCCATCTTCCTCTTGCTTCCATGTTGGCTTCCATTGTTGCTGTAAGAAAGTACTCACCTGTGGTCTTTTGATAGTGCTAACATCCTGATTGATGAGCCAACAATTATGCTACCAGGTGTTTGCTCAGGTGGAACGTGTTTCTTGATCATTGGTCTCTGTGTGAGGCATTTTGAATATCAGTGTTTTAAACCTGCTAACACGTGACTTTATGTCAGATTCCTGTGTCTTACGTGGAGAAACATGTGCAGTGGTTTGCAAAAAGTGCCATGTTGATTTGCAAATTGTGTGATAGGCTGAAAACGTGTTTAGAGTTTTGGAGATTCGAGCCGATGTTTTGCTCTTTGAGTGTCAGTTAAAATAATTGTGCTTATTATGTAGCATTTTAGTGTGTTAGCAATCGAGAAAAACTGTAACTGTCCCCCAACATAAGTATGTTTTTGCCCCCTATAATTGGTCTGGAGTGCAACTGCCCAGATACTTGCTCAACAACAACTGAAACCAGCAATATTGGCACCAGATTTATTTAAAAACAGAAACCAATCATGGTCAAGTTTTTTTGATAATTTCTTAATAAAACTGATCAATTTGAGGCATTAAAAATGTCCTTAAAAGTGTATCAAAACAGTGACAGAGAAAATGAATTGTCCTAACCATAGACTGCTTTGCCTTCTGCAGCCAACCAGAAGCCCAGGCAGCAGTTCTGCCACACCCTCAGGCACACCCACCAAGAACTCCGCCATCCAGGACCTTTACATCCCCCCTCCCCCTGATGAGCCATACACACCCAGGTACACTGTAGTCTTAGAAAGAAAAAAGAGTGACAGCAAAGAGGAGTTTTGACTTTAATGTCTTTGCCTGTAAATCTGCCTTGTCCGCAACTGTAGAGATGAGACAGGAGTCTTGCCGGGAGATGAGGCATCTCGTAACCACAGTAGCGTCAGTGTTGCTAAGCGCTCTGAGTCACCAAACTCCTTCCTGGATCAAGAGTCTCATCTGCGAGAAGAGGAGGAACCCGTGTACTGCACCACACCTACATATGGTACGCTCCAGTGGTGAGAGATTGGGTTTAATCTAATTCTGCTGCATTGAGCGACTTCAGAAAACAATCATGAGGCTAAGAACCCACCTGCTGTCCTCAGGCGGTCCATGAAACGTTTAAAAAAAAAAGTGATGCAGTTCTACATTGTAGGTTGTGGATAATAATACATAAAACCTTGCCAGAAACCTTGTATCACACATCAGAATAAATCTCTAATTTAAAGGTGAATATTAAGTTGTATTATTGTGTTTACTTGTAGGCAGGCTGAGGCCCATCTCCATGCCTGTGGAGTGTAACTGGGTGGGCAACTATGAAGATCCAGCCAAGCTTAACAGAGAAAGTCGCAGAGGTGAGGGCTGGCGTGTGGAGTGCATATGTGTGTGTTCCCCTGAAAAGCCTGTTAGATTCAGTTCAATGTTCCCGTCTCTCTGCATTACCAAGAGATCAGTGTGTGTGGAGATCAATGCACCTCCATCCTCTTCCTCTAATTCTCCCTGTGATTAACATCATAGAGGAAAGAAGTGGGGGGGATTAGAAGGTAAGGAGAGAAAAAAGGAAAGGTAGGCAGTTGCTACAAAGGCATAGAAAATGAAAGGCAGCCATGAAGGGAGAAAGAATAAAAGAGAGGAAGCGAGACCTCCACCTGAATCACTCACGCAGTTGCCATGGCGACGCTGACAGCAGCTCTTCTCGGTGTCTCACTTTGCTCTGGCCGCTGCCTAGCAACCAGGGGAGGACAGGGTTGGAACCTTGAGGAGAGAGAAGAAGTGAGACCTGAGTTTTCCTCCCCCGGTGGGAGCGCTGAAGAGGAAGTTGGTCGGAAAAAAAATATGTAGACTTAGAGTCAGTGAACCAGAACCAATTCAATAAACACTCAAGTCACACTTAGACACACATGCGTGGACATGTTCTCTCACAACAGCATCTTGATGGTGGAAAATATGGATCCATCAGTCCACCTAGCATATCTCAATAAATACTCTCATCAAACTTAGTACAATTCTACAATTTGACACGTCGTTTTAAGCAACCAATGATTTTCTGGTAAGCAACATTTTGGGATTGAATTCTTCTTAAAGGTCACCGATCATGCTATTTTTAGGCAATAGCCTAGGTCTCAGGCTACCACTTTACAGTAAGACTACCCTTATAAAAGGTTTACGAATAGTTTGTAATTAATGTATTAATTAGGATGTGAACACTTTATAAATCATTAATAAGCTTTTATAGGACTAGAGATAAACAGGACAACTGTGACCGGTCGCTTGCCAAATAGTGAGCCCACAGTTATCTGTACTGCTAAGTCTTATATTGGCTACTTAGCTTACTTCATCTTATTCATCAGCCAGCATCCTTGGTATCTGCTGCTCGCTAAGTAGCCAATATAAGGCTTAGTCATCTTGCCAAATAGTGAGCCTGTGTTGATGTATGTTGTATGTATGTATCTATGTTAGAACTGGTTTATAAATGGTTCTTAATGATGAATAAAGTGTTTACAACCAAATTCATAACCTAATTATAAACCCTTTATGAATCCCTTATAAGGGTAGTCTTATTGTAAAGTGGTACCGGTCTCAGATATATTAAAAAATATAAAAAACATGTCGATGAAGTGTTTTGGTCAAAAGACCAAACAGATCATCCATTCTAGCCATGCCTCATATCCCTCTATTTCTCTTCCTGTTCCAAAAGTGCTGATTCTGGGTATAAACAGGTCTCTCTTGAGAATGAGACCCTGTGTCTCAATGAGATTTTCACCTGTATAAATAAAGGCTAAATACAAAATAAAAATAAAAATGTAAATAAGAGGGGGCGGAGCTTATGCCGGCTGATGCGGAACCTGGCAGATACTGTCTAAAATGCTGTGGTGATGAAACGCAAGGATTATTAGATCAAGGTTTATTTCTGAAACAGTATGGAGCTCAAAGGCTTTCTCTCTTGCCGGTTATACCGCAAGGTGAGTTCCGTTTTATTTCCTGCTTCTTCACACACATGCTCTCTGTATAGGTTAGCTCTGATTGTTCGATTTGATGTCATATCGGCGGCAAATCTGGATCAGCTCTGTTGTACCCCTGTTTTTANNNNCTTAATTTCTCATGCTAAATTTAATGTAACTGCCTTCAAAACTACACAAACAGCTTACCAAATGCAAACTTTAGCACCAAATATAACACCAACTTCATTCATTAACCACTAGATTGTTGACAAACCCAACTACACACTGCTGAGCATCATCTAAAGCACTTCTCATCTTTATGGGCTTGCTCTGTACGAGAGGTGTCTGCGAGAACGGTGCTTGGAGTTGTGCGAAATACAGTAAATTAAGAAAATACATTGAGTTGTTGAAAGACAAATCACATTTTTATTTGAAAAATCACATTGTGCAACCATGCATCTCAGCACATAGTACTATGCTTCGGATCTCTCTAAGATTGTGATGCACTGTTTGTCAAAACCCAGTTGTAACTGCGCTTCCTGTGCCTCATTGGAAAACCCTTAGCCTTCCACCTGCACCTCTCTTGTTCTCAGTTCCTTCAGATTAAACAACACAGACATAGTTGTTGTCAGTGTCTGTGGTTGCACAACAGTAAGTCTACCACAGTACATTGTGCAGGATTTGTGTACAGTGTATAGTATGCAACATGCCAACAAATCAATTACATGATAATGAGAAAGTTAAATATGTTGGTCACAGCAACAGATATAAGCACTGATGTTATTATCATGAGTCTATGCAGAGCTAAAAGACTGGTACTAACCTGTTTGTCAAGTCTTAAGCTTGGTCCGGATCTTACAGAGGCCGAGTGGTGAAATCGGCTTAGATTAGGCTGAACCCTGTGTCCAGTCTCTCTCATCGACAAACCATGGTCTCTCCCTCCAGCTCTACCTCTACCTCTCATTCCTCCTCCTCTCACTCTCAGCCCAGCTCTTGCTCTTGCTCTTGCTCTTGCTCTTGCTCTTGCTCTTGCTCTTGCTCTTGCTCTTGCTCTTGCTCTTGCTCTTGCTCTTGCTCTTGCTCTTGCTCTTGCTTCCATGTTGGCTTCCATTGTTGCTGTAAGAAAGTACTCACCTGTGGTCTTTTTATAGTGCTAACATCCTGATTGATGAGCCAACAATTATGCTACCAGGTGGAACGTGTTTCTTGATCATTGGTCTATGTGTGAGGCATTTTGAATATCAGTGTTTTAAACCTGCCAACACGTGACTTTATGTCAGATTCCTGTGTCTCACGTGGAGAAACGTGTGCAGTGGTTTGCAAAAAGTGCCATGTTGATTTGCAAATTGTGTGAAAAGCTGAAAACGTGTTTAGAGTTTTGGAGATTTAAGCCGATGTTTTGCTCTTTGAGTGTCAGTTAAAATAATTGTGCTTTATGTATCATTTTAGTGTGTTAGCAATCGAGAAAAACTGTAATGCAGCTAAAGAATATAAGAAATACTTTACCAAAGTTTCAAAAACCCAGATACACATTTGCAACTTTTAGCATTTAAGACCACAGTAACTTAGTGATTTTTAAACATCAACAGTTATTTATCTTTTAGAGAAACTATTTTGCCCAAACAAAGATAGTTAGAGAGTGTGTCGTTCTCAAACAAAAGTTATGTTTTCATGCATTATAAATGATTATATACATTATATATACAGCTTGATGTGTGACACAAACTAAACGTTGACTAAAACTGTTTACTATAGTTCTCACGTGTGGTCCAAAACGTACTTAATGAAGGGAAGTGGGAATTGTTGGGATGCATGTCAACATGTCAATATCCTTGAGGCAAGTTAGTGTGACTTTTTGTAACTTTCGCATTGTTTGTGAAGGCAACAAACAATTACCTTTTTATTGTTCTGTTATTAACAATGAACAATCAAAAGTCTTATCTTAGAGATGTGCATTTTCCAGTGTATATTTGATCTGAAGACATTTGTTCTGACATTTTTTAAATAACTGTTTGGCTCAGTAATAATGTAGTGGTTAAAGGTGAAAATCTATGTTTTAAGTGTTTGAGTGACACACTGTGATATATTTGTAGATAATAATGTCTACAGTATATTAACCCAGCCAACACTCATGATAGGTAGAAGTTAGGGATGTCCCGATCACCTTTTTTTTCTCCCGATCCGATTCCGATCATTTGATTTTGACAATTTGCCGATACCGATTTTTCCCGATCCGATCTTTATGCAATGCATTAAGGGAAAAAAAAAGAAAAAAAGCATTCAAGTTGTCCCTTAAGGTTATTTTTTTATTTAAATTGGATATTCTATCCAACATGGATATAGCTTCTTTCTTTCACAGCAGCATTGGATCAGTTCAGTTGTGCAGCATTGGATCAAAACAAAATAAAGCTTTCAGTACTCGTTAGCTTACTGCTACAATTAGACACTGCGCCCACTCTGTTGCCAGATTGGAGAGAAATAAGCAACCAGGTCTATGAAAACAAGCCCCAAAGAAGCAACACATACATGATGTTCTGTAATTTGAAACCAAAACTAAGGCCTCAGGATGACTTTAAGACTTGAACATGGGCATTTTTGTTTTGTAACATTGAATACAAAATTTAAAAAAAGTATTTATAAAAAAAACTTTAAAAAAAGAAAATCCCAATCCCGATTTTTTTCCTCCCGATTCCGATCTTTTGAAAATCACGTGATCGGCTCCGATCCCCGATCACGTGATCGGATCGGGACATCTCTAGTAGAAGTAATGAAGAACATAAGACAGAATATATAACATGAGATCAATACCTAGTGTTTCAAATGTGTTGTTTTGGTTAACGGTAAAGTCAACCTATCCATATGTGAATTCGACACATTTTGGCTTTAGGTTACTGTGTGCTGATTTGTTTGGATGATTTCACAGAAGCGTCCCTGATGCGTTACGTGGGAATCTCCGGCGTGGACGAGAGGACCAGCTCTGAGGACTACTCCTCCCACACGGCTCGCCCAGGCAAACGGACCAATGACACGGCCAAACGCGCAAAGAGACGGAGCCACCACAGCCAAAGCCCCTCCCACTATGTCCTGCAAACAAATCAAAGAGATTCTCCACCGAGAGAGCCGGCCTCAATTTATCATGTAAGTCACTTGTTTTTCTCTTTTTTATAACCATTATTTTTGATTTACAACATATAGGCCAAGGACTTTCAACTGTTTGTTTATAAGAACTTAAACAATTTTAACATCTTTAACACATCTAGTACACAACAGGTGATGCTCCACTGTTGAGGGAATATTCCGTTTTTTTAGTATGCTGGAGACAGAAGAGCTTAAGAAGTATTTTGTATTTTTAAGATTTTCCCCCAGAAATAGAACAAGTTTATACTTCATATTTTGCTGCACTTGGACAAACAGGACTGATGTCACTATAACACAACATATTATTTGTCGCTCACCGCTAATAGCAAAGAGCAGTTTTCTCGGCCTGAGCACTTAGCATCAAATATCTAGCCACAAATTGATAAAGCAAAAGTCTTACCTGCATTCGAATATTGAAAAATAAAGTTGATTCTCCGTTATGTCGCATGTAGTAGCTTTAAAATGTAATTATGTAGTTGCATAATGTGGCTGAAATAAGGGAATGAAACTCAGCTGCCTCCCTGAAGTTAAAGCTCAAAGGAGGTTACACTATCTGTTTTGTTTTGATGCATCCAGCTATTTTAACCCTCGTGAAAAAGTGTGATGTGTGAATGCCAACGTGTTATTACCCCCTGTCACCTTCCTGGCATCTTTCTGCCCTGCCTGTCAGTCCAAGCTCAGGTCGAGGCAGTCCATTTGGCCGTTGGTGACGTTATATGTCTTGACAGCAAATTAAATGTGTTTCCATGTGTGTGTGTATTTACAGTGTGCATGGTTGCTGCGATGGCAGATGGCGTGTCAGTGGGTGTGGGCGGGCCCATGTCATCTGTCTTGCTGAGCGTGGGGCTGTGAATGGCAGAGCTCCAGGTTGTGACATGTGTAATATTGTTACATCAGAGCTGATCTGTTGCCCCATCTGACCTTTCGAGGGAGGTCACATCTCAAATATGCTGACCATGTGAGTTTCATATTATAGACGAGAGGTTTTGCAACTTACAAATTGTATTTTTACATATTTAATGTGATATACACTTTCCAAGCATTTCCATTTACCGACAATGTAATCTGAGAAATCATAGAGAAAAGACGCTCCATAGACTTTGAGAACTTATCTCAGAATCGTTTGGAGTTTTCTTTGGAACAAAGTAGTCCAATCATATTTGTCTGTACATCCATTGGTAGGATACAATCAGGATTGAATGGCTAATTAGGTACTTTTAATTGGATGGCCTTTAAGGCGACAAATTACCTTAATGTGAACAGATGCTCAAAAGTAGGAATGTAGCCCATAGCTCGGTGCCTATCGGCCTGGAAACCCCTGTTTTACACGTTTGTCCTTCATGTTTGGCTTGATGAAATGTTCTGCTTTAACCCAGAGGCCTAGTGCACACTTTCTCTCTTTTTCTCCATCACCTGAATATCATACTGTGCTAACCCCCCCTTCCTGTCCCTTTGTTCTATGTTTAGAGGTGTGAGAGTTGCTTAAGTCCTCCATAAGGTAAACCTTGCCACCCCAACAAGAGTACCTGTCAGTGTGAGACAGAAAGATAACGAGGGAAAGGGTTTTCCTTTGTATTTAAGTGTCTTCTTTCTCTTCTCCTCCTTGCTCGCTATTATCTGTCATCTTTTATATCCCATGGTTCTTCGCAGTAAACAAAGGGCACTGATTCATCTTGACAGCTCTCTCCCCATCTCACCCTCCCTCTTGTTCTGTTCTTTTGCTCTTAGACATACCAACAGTCCTCCTCTCTGCAGTCAAAGAACAGGAAGAAGACTAAAGGTAAGCGGAGAAGACACCTGTTCAGTTTCCTCTTTTGGAGAGCCGTATCACAGTCATTGACTCTCGCGTAGAAACATAGATGAATGCATTCACTCCATTTGTAACAATTGTGATATATTTGCTTGTTCAGCCGACCTGGTGCTTGAAGACTCTCTGGGTAGCAATTCATTGAACATAACTATTTAGAAATGCTCAATCGAACACAGTGCCTATCTTTCATTACACATGGAGATATGCTACTTGGACCTTTTATTGAGAGTCCACACCATGGTCCACAGAGTTGAAAATACACTTAATAATGAACCATGTATTGATATTGCAATCATTTATACCTCTGTGGTTGTGAAATGTTTATCATAATAATTATTAAAGCATTAAAGCAGGGTTAGGGAGTTTTTTGGAAAGGGCAAAAAAAGAACTGGATCCAAGAAACCAGCCCCTCTCTCTGCCCTAACCCCCTACCACAAGACTAGCATGAGCATATGCACATGCTTCATAAAGTAATATGTACTATTAGGGGAGAGTGGTGTAAGATGAGCCAACTTGTACTTATGTTGTCCTCTAGGGAAGGAAACATTAGATGGAAGTCAAATGACAACAGCAACCTTTACTTCAGGATCTCTTCTGTCAATCAAAAGTATACTGTAATAATGCATCTATCACAAAGGGCCATGAAAATATGACTTCTTAAAAAACTGGTCTTGTGGACTGGCTTCACGTAAGTTGATTTATTGAACCATCTTGGGCAGTTTTGGGATATACATTTTTTAAACCCTCTGGAGCAGGGAGAGGAGCTGTGGATAATTGTTATTGATGAATGCATCAGTGTTTCTTAGGCTCAAAAACACTAAACTCACAATTTAAAATGAAAGCGTTTAGTTTATTTAATAAAAGAGCACATGTTCAATGTGAAAAGTGACAGTAGATATAGATTATTTGCAATTTGTTTTTTTTAAACACCTTGAATTTCAGGGGGGGCGCGGGGCTCCGTTGGCGGGGTGCGGGGCTCCGTTGGCGAGGCGCAGCGCCCCTCCAATACAATGGTAGGGGAAGCACTGATCTACATACTGTAGGGTTGACCTGTCCATTTTTCAGTCTTTTGCCACTGCTCTGATGGATTTTCCACCCTTGCCCTCAGTGGCTGCTCTCTCCATCTCCTCAGTCTTTCTCTTGGACTTTCTTGGCATGAAGAATTTACAAAGTAAAACTATGTTAAAATAGCATTTGATACTACAGAGACTTAACTTAACTTTAGCGCCTCATGGGGGGTTAAGCTCAAACACTGGTTCAGTTCACCCCACAGGATGTGGCTCACTTTTCCCCAAAGCCACTTTTTGGGGAAAAAAAAGCTGTCTAGCTTAGTCATTCATTCTTATCGTTAGCTAAAAGATTCACATGGTTTTACACCATGATAAATAACCAACATGTTTATTACATATTTTTAGACCTGGATTCATGCGGTTTGACATAATAATAATTATACCTGCCATGTTGAAAATGTACTAAATGTACTTAAGCAAAACATGATTTATTGTGAAAAAAACACATTTACCACTTTAACCAGTGATTCTCTCCATCACAGCCAAATGGGTGCTTCCTGAATGTATGGTCACATGACCACAAATGTGCACAGTTCCCTAGATAAAGGGAGTGGGTCAACTTACCCACTGGCTCATTTTACCCCACTCTCCCCTACTATTCATAATCCCCATTGTGATGTGATCCTGACATTGTTATGAACAGGCAATTATAATTGTTTTGTTTTATTTCAATTAGTATAACAACATTTTATCTTTATATTTATTTTTCTGATATCTTCAGAAAAACAAATGCATTTTGAATGTTTTATTGTATATGCTGTATTTTGTGTTTGTTTCACCAATAAATAACCTTCAAAATAGTGTAAAAAGGTAGAGAGAGCCTTTAACTGTCACTGTTCAAAAGCGATACTCAAAACTATCTTGTGTGTATGAATGATCAGATATGGATATGTTTAAATAGGAATGCCCTGAAATAACCTTTGAGTGCAGACGTCAGAGGAAGTGCAGACAAGTTTTCTCTCAGTACATTGGAACAGTTATTATGAAAAGTTTGCCTAATGAGGCTGCATAAAACTGCCAATCTCAGCTTTAAGTCTCCACAACATCCATTCATACTGAGGACAAATCTTTTTGATCACATTTTCGTGCTGAGAACCAATTTGCATTTAACACATCATGCTCATTACTCTGATTTTCACGAGTCCAGACCAAACTGTGAGGCAAGGCATCTTTCCATCTTCTACATACTGTACAACTAGTCCTGTTGACTACGTTATTTTAAACGTTATGTTTAATTGTTTGTGTTTAAGAACATTTTAAATCCCCTTAATCCTTCTGCTTTTATTTTGATGGTTTTACTCCCTACAGTTTGTGTATTCTCTCCAACTTCCTGGTATCAGTTTATTGGCCTCTTTGCCCAAAGTTATTTTTTTCAATCACACTATCATGAATCAACATGTTGGAAGTGATTTTCTTTCACTTGTTTTACCATCTGCCATCGCGAGAAGCTTTGGAAGCTTTAGCGCCATCTGCACATTTCCGCGCAACAGCTTTGTTTGTTTACAGCAATTAAACCAAAGTTTGAAAATGAATGTGATGATTATTATTTAGTAATTGTTTTAAGTGCTTGGAGTAGCCCCCGTATCAAACATGTAATGATATACTTGTTATTCTTTTTGGTCCTTGTCTGAGACAGTGGCTTGAATGAGAGTCTCTCTTGAAACCGACATTACATGTGTGATGATATCTTTAATTGTGGAGCTGCTGCAAAGAAAATAGTTGGAAAAATCGAAGACACCGTTGCACATTTCCAGGATGTAGCTAACTCTTTATCAGAGAGTATAACGTTATCTACAGAGTCTCTTAAGACTTCAAGCTTTTCACACGGTTTGAGCTTTGGTTTGTAGTAGAGGGTGGTTTTTTTTAAGAGATACATTCCACAGAGATCTTTCCATTGCTCTAGATAAAAGTGGGATATTGAATTGCTTTCACGTTTAATGTTGTTAAACTTTTGCACAATATAAGTTTCTCTGCAGCCGTAACCGGGAGACAAGTGTGTGAAAAAGGTTACAGTGCTTTTGTGCCAGAAGCAAAGATCATTTTTATGAAATACCTCTTACCTTACTGCAGTGCAGCAGTGTTCTGTCAAACCCAGAGACTAAACTGTTAGCTAGAATTATTGCACTATTAGGACGTGGCATTTTATAACTGTTTTTATTCACACTACTTGAAGAGATTGAGCCAAGCCATGTATCTTGCTTTGAATTCTCACTTATTTCATTTTTCTGATTTATATTCCTGTCCGTCATGCATCCTGTGTTGTTACAGGAAGAAGTTTGGCCTCTCTGAGTCGGAGGCGTGTTTCCTGCAAGGCGCTGGGCAGAGGAGACTGCGAGGGCTGGCTGTGGAGAAAGAGAGATGCGAAGGGTTACTTTTCTCACAAATGGAAGAAATACTGGTTTGTTCTGAAGGACAACTGCCTGTACTGGTACATCAATGAGGAGGTGAGTCGTGTTTTTCATTATGTATTATCTTTTCCAGCCTCTTAGTTCATTTTTGTTTTCAAACTGAAATATATTTGAAGTAGCAGTCTTCAACAAGTGTCACACACTTCATCGTTTTTAAGAGCGAATATGAAACAAAGAGCCAATGATGACATTTTTCTTTGATTTCTGCTTTGGGTAGCTATGGACTATTTTTGTTTTTTTTAGTTAGTTTAGGTCAAAGTTTAAGCTTAACCCATGCCTTTAATTTATTACCAAATACCTGCAAAACCAACATCCGCCTCAGCCAGACTATCTGTTTAATACTAATTAGCAATTGTTAACATGCTTACATAATTAAGATGGTCACATTTGAGCATTTAGCTTAAACATCAGAGCTCTTGCTATCTATGGTATTTACAGCAACACACAATAAATCCATGGGGAAAACCAGCAAGATGTTCCCTGCGTAGCTGCTTGAGGTCAATCCCATTAGCATTCCATAACAAATTAGCTTGAGGGGTTAGGATTGGGATGAGTTCAAACCCCTCTGCAGTCAGCATGTCGTTGTGTCCCTGAGACACTTCACCCCAAACTGCTCCTGTGGGGATTGCCCACAGTATTGAGTATGTAAGTTGCTTTGGATAAAAGCGTCTAACAAGTGACATGTAATGAGACACGTCGAAGTGTGTCTACATGCTATCCCTTCATTTGAACCACACTACTGTTCTTTCAGCTGTTTAAGGTTAGTGCAATTGGTTGAGATGAGGCATTGACCTCAAATGATTAAAGTTAGGACATGTTTGTTTCAAAACATGTAGGAGGCTCATGTGACTTGTTTTGTGTCAGTTTGCGTTTCCTTGAATCTCTACAGGGGAAGTGTGAAATGTTACCACAACCTTAGAGCCACAAAAGTCATATCTATGCTGAAAAAAACAGATTGTAAGGAACATTTTCCTTCATTTCTTTCTATTGGCTTATTATATATATTTCTCCTATTATTTTGTATTTATCTTTTAGGATGAGAAGGCAGAGGGTTTTGTCAGTCTTCCAGAGTTTAAGATTGACCGTGCCAGTGAATGTCGCAAGAAGTAGTAAGTGTGCTACGAAAACTATTGCCTATTCAATGAATGTGTTTACCCCATGTGCAGTGATATGCTCTCCTGTATACCGCTACATGTTTCCCTGCACAAATAACACATTTAATTCTCTCATATCTCTCTAGTGCTTTCAAAGCATGTCACCCCAAGGTCAAGAGTTTCTACTTTGCAGCAGATGGAGTGGATGACATGAACAGGTAAAGCAGCATGGACCACACATGGATGAAGGTTATGCAAAAGTGCAAACTCCCTGCTGTGTGGCATTTGAGCATTTTCCTGTTAACTATCCACAAAACACTAAACAACAATGTGTTTTTCTTGATGAAGAGAAGGCCTGATATCAGTGATGTGTATGAAAAACATCATTTTCAAGATATGTTTGCATCGAGGCTCAAGTTTCCACCTGTGCAGAGAACTGTTCTGCAGTTTCAGAATCTGAAATAGATCATTTAACCCAATATTTGACAGTATTCCTCAATAGGTTACATTGCAGTGGAAAGCTGTAACACATTCTTGCAATTTCTTGGGAGAAATAAGTGTTTAAGCGCTTTGTAATGACTTATTCATGAACCTCTTGAGAAATGTGCTTATCCACTTTCTAGCTTGAGGTGAGATAAGAAGAAGTAATAGGTTAGCTAAGGTTCTCATTACAACCTTTAGCAGGTAGAAGGAGCTACTGTAGTCTTCCTCAAATAAATCACAAATTCTTGTTTTTTTTTAGATTAAATAAACACAATATTTATTCACGATTAAACAAACAAAATATAAAGAGAGTTGATGGTAGGTGGATATGTTAACTTTATTAGGACGAACCCAGGCTAGCTGTTTCCAGTCTGTATGCTAAGCTAAACTAAGTTTACCGTCATTCATGTTATCAATCGTGTCATTTCATTATTGTCAGAAGCAAATTAGCAAATGTCCCAAAGCATTTAACTATTTCTTCATAATGGATGTTATGTGAAAATACAGTATGTGTGATTCACTGCAGCAGGCTGTTCTTCCGCTCTGTTAGATGGCTGAGTCGTCTCAATATGGCTGCCGTGGGCCACGCAGAGCGAGAGAGGATACGTCAGGAGCAGGGTGAGTTATTATATGAGATAAGACATTACAATGGATGCATAGATGGTGGTTCTGACTGTCCATGTGTGGGTTTCCTGAAGATTACTGGAGTGAGAGTGAACATGAGGAGGAAACCACCTCCAGCCCCAAACAGGACAGTCCCCCACCTCCATATGATACCTACCCACGGCCTCCATCAGTGAGTCACACACACACACACAGCCGTATTACACACTCAACTGCTGTGCTTGAAGGCAACAATTGAGCTCAGTGCGCTTCCCCAGTTTAAGTTATTGCAAATTAGACTCAAGGGAGTGGTGTGGCACAATTTGGTGTAATTGATGCTATACACTTCCCTCATACTGCTTTGCTCCACATTGTATGGATTGTGTTAAACTAGGATTTAAAACTACAGCTTCTACAATGCTGTTTTCAGTCAAATAGGCACACAAGATAATAATATTAGAAATCCTAATCATTAAGAGCCATAAAAACCCTTTGGTGTTTGCCTTTTCAACAAAAACACTTCTTCTGCCTTTCTGTTGTGTTTATTTCTTTCTCTTTCAAATACTTATTCAATGATCATTTTAACCGTTCGTCAGATAAATTCATTTTTTCAAGAGTGTCATTACAATTGATTGAGACACCATTTTATTCTTTCCTCTTTCTCTATCAGATGAGTGCCTATATGGAAGGCCGAACTCGACTGTCTTCTACAGAGACGTGTCGTTCTCGCTCTTCTCAGGAGGACTTTCTCTGTGGCGACCCCCCCGGGTTGGCTGCAGAGCCACAGTACCACCCTGGCCCTCTAGGGGGAGGCACTACACACAGTGGGAGGAAACCAGGGGGCAGCAGCAGCAGCGACATGCAGTATAGATGTGATACTGTAGAGGTGCGTCTTGGTCTATCAAAAGTGATATATCACAACAATTCATATTTTGCGCCCTTTTCCTTTAGCACCACCATCAGGCCAAACTGTAGCTGTCTTATAACCTCATTTAGAAAATGAACTCAATATGAGATTTCAGGCTAAATGTGACACAGAGTTGAACACAATGTAATTAAATGAAGTTATTGCCACACAAAAAGCTGATTCATCCTACCAGTATAGGGCTACCAGTAGAGATTGGATTTGAACTACTTGGAAATGATTCTAAGCTTTTGTTCCTGACAGAATGTGGCTACCAGACTCTTCATTTGAATGTGTTTTTCATGGAGTGAGTGAAGTGAAGCATCTACATCAGAATCATTTGTTTTGTCAAAAAGAATTGTACGACTAAAAAGCTTTTGTGAATAAGATATGAGCGCTTTCCAACTCGAGTGTTTATTGCGATCCCCAGTTACTTCCTTGGGTCCCAAGCATAGACTGTATATATATAAAGGTCCCAAGTCATCAATGTCTACACAACTCTAAATACATTAAACAATTCATTTACAATGACTCTTGGATAATGCTAGTCAAAGAGTTACCATGATACACATGGATGCTTTTTCTCTTTTAGTCTATCATTTGGTCAGTCAGAAACTCTACATAACAATAAGAAGTTAATACAATTTATGACTAACATTACTGATTGTCTCCGTTACTGTTTGTCGTAGTACCGATCCAGTCCTGCAGGGGGCAGCAGTGAGACGGGGTCTCCGGGCCGCTCTTCCTCGTCTCAGAGACGTTCCTGGCAGGACCTGATTGAGACACCGTTAACTGAGGCGGGACTGCACTACCTTCAAACTGGACCTCTAGGTAGCACACAAACCAGAAGATGAATCCAAGACTCATTTTTAGATCAATTGCTTGAATCGATATTATTTTAGCGTGACAGAGCTCCGGCTTGTGCCTCTCCTGTGTTACTATTAGATTCAGGTCACAGAGCTCGATATAGCCGGATATTTGACACTGATAAATAGATAGGGCAGGTTTGCTATCACTGCTGCCATTTGCATCATTGGTGGTCTTCCTCCAAAGAGAGCATTGCTCCAATGACAATATAACACACGATATATCTTTAAAAAGGTTGTGTTTGTCTCATAATTCTGCACAAAATGTATGCATTGAAGAGTTGATGAAGAAGGTTTATGTTGGATAATAAACATCCTTAGTTGTTTCTACTTCATATTTTTCTTAATAATATTTAATATATATCTGGTGTGAGTTCTATTTGTACAGATTTGATGTGTGTACATAGCTCTATATTCTCAATAAGCAATACAATCAAGAGCAAATTGTTTATGTTGCTTTAAAAGAACAAAAACAATTGAACTTTGTTGTTATTTCTTATCTCTATGTTACAGAGGACGCCGTCTTTGCTGAGCCTAGTCCAGTAATCGGGAGTATGATGGCCGGAGCTGTTTACACTCTTCCTGCTCAGAGGAATGTCCCGTTGCCCATGGCGATGACAAGGCTAATTCCTATGGCAACCAAGGGAGGGAAACCCCGCAGTTTCACACTGCCACGAGACAGCAACCTACACACACTCTTCACGCCCCCTGCGAAAGAAGAACAGCAAGCACACAGCAGTGAGTAATCAGGAACATACGTGTACTGTGTTAACTGTGGATGGATAGAAGAAGAGATAGAGTACATGTAGCTTTGCGTTGTGTGGGCGGATGGATGTCAGGAAAGAGCAAAAAAGGCAGAATGTGTCTCACATTGACTGACAGCCACTAGAGACTGAAAAAAGTTGAAGACATTGACGTCAGTAAAGGTGCCAGAAATAAAAAGGCTCTCAGGCAGGCACATTTCCATTTAAATCATCAGTATCGAGTTACATACACTCCATTAATACACTCATCTAATGAGGCTAATGAGAGAACGGTGCCAAGATGAGCCCAGCGGCGTAAAGAGAGAAAAGTGCCAAACTAAAATAGTAAACAATTCAATATAAGATCCATGTGAATTTTAATTTCCTCAGTCTAGCAGAGGAAGAACTTTTTCATCATTAATAACATGTCATTATTCAGCAGAAGGGTCATTGAGCTGTGCTTCTGTCCCCCGGTGGTTGCTGTGAGATACAACACAATTTAATCCGATTCTGACGCTCTTTAGCTCTTAGCTTCAAAGTATTTGACAATAGTCAATTAAATAGCGCAGAAAGGGTTTAAATCATTATTAGTTGTGTGATTTGGTCTTTCTTTCGACTGTGTGAAGGCGGCAGCGAGGGTGCATCCCTGGGCGACCTGTTCCGAGCGTGTGAGCAGGGCGGGGTCTGTCCACTGGGTCGGGGGTCAGACTCCAGAGGTCAGTCAGAGTGCAGGCAGTCCTTCCTCCGACGGGCCGCAGACCCTCAGCTCAACGAGCGCCTTCACCGCCTCCGCATCCTGACATCCACCCTGAAGGTTGGTTCACCCGCGTGCAGGACATATACAAAGATAAATGTGCATAAACACACATAAGCATATATACTGTATAGACCAAAGCAAATTCCTCATATGTGTAAACCTACTTACTTGTTAATAAAAAACGATTCTGATTCTGATATACATGGATTTGCATCACTTAAGCTGCTACACCAAAGTAAGAATGAATTGGCATTTCAAATGCCCTTTGACGTCGTCCATTTAGGTTATGATCAATAAGATTTGGCGACACAACGCATTTTTTAACAAAGTCAAAGAAAAATGAATACAGCCAGGATGTCCTGATGCAACTGCAGCTCCTGATCTAACATCTCACAATGGCTGCTCCCACTTGTTGCATTACTTCCTGCAAAATGTATTCGAGAAACTTTGGCAAATAAGGCTTAAAATGACCATTTACTGTCGACATCAATCCCGGCGACAATTGATTCGCTTCTTGAATGCTTTTTTTTTTATGTAGTCGTTTCTGAAATAATTATCTATGGTCAGTTGTGTGTCAACTGTCCCTAGATAATAACCAGCACACAACACCGGATCAAACCTCTTTTTTGACATTTTATGTGAATTCTTAGCTGCAACCAGGCTGTAACCCACAATGATTTTTCTGACCATGACATTTGTACACATCTTTATACACACTGTCTCTGTCTTTTTACTTTGCGTGGCGTCAGCTGTCCCAGTCTGTGTCCTCGGTTTGGTTTGCTTGTTATACAGCGATCTGTGGCATTTTGCTATAGGAACAGTGGTAATGTTTCGGGCTGGGTGTGAATGGCTTTTTTCTGTGGCTGTTTTCCATTTTGTCTCTATAGAGTTTGTATCTTTGTTGTTTCTCCGTGTACGTTGGCGGGAATGTTGGCAAGGGCCTTTGTTGCTTGTTCGTGTAGCTACAACAGCTTTTTGCAAGGGTCTGTGACTTTGTTAGCCCGTGTCTGATGATTCAGGTTGGGAGGAGGAGCTTACATGTTTGTCCTCTGTCTGGCGTCTCTCTGACATACACTACGTTTTTTGGGGAGACTTTTGGATAAAACGTCTGTCAAATAATGAGAGCATAAAGGACACAGCATAGTCCTTCATGTGACCCTGGTAAACCATAAACTGCTGTTTGCAAGGTGTGTGTGTGTGTGTGTGTGTGTGTGTGTGTGTGTGTGTGTGTGTGTGTGTGTGTGTGTGTGTGTGTGTGTGTGTGTGTGTGTGTGTGTGTGTGTCTGTGTGTGTTCAGGCAGCAGTGACTTATCCGCAGTGGTTGCTGTGGAAACAGCAAAGGAAAATGTTCTCTCTGTCTGTAATATGCCGAAATTGAACTGAAACAACAAACTACAATCTAGTAGTGGAATGGTTCGCTGCACATTTACTCACATACTGTACTTAAGGACAGATTTGAGGTCATCAATTAATCAAAAATACTTTATCAGTCCAAGGGAGAAATACGATTTTGTGAGCATTGCACCACATTCTTATATGGTTATATTATATTACCTATATATTATATATATATATATGATATACACTTATACACCATACTTTTGCTTTTACTTCGATTGTCGATTTCAAAAGACAGTGTTATAGTTTTACTTTACTACATTTAAAGCTTGAGATACCTATCAAATTATATTTTTTCCATACAAAATACATAAAATGCTTATACAATACAATATGATGTCAATTCTTATACATTATATAAATTAAGCTACTTAACAGTGTTTATAGGTGCAGTTGGAATAATTAGTTGATTTTTCAGTTAGTTGATTGACAGGAAATAACTGGCAACTACTTTATTAGAACCCAAACCAGTACTGGCTCATCTAAAGATGAGTGATCATAAATAACCCTTCCATATTTCACGAAAAAGCATTTGAGTAGTTGTAGTTGTCAAACTCTCCAGAATAAATTATCTCAAATCAAAATGGTCGTCCTTAGTGAAAATAATGGTGAGTTATTCCCAGAACTTGATGTATCCCATTAAGTGTGTGTCTTGCTTTACGTGTGTCTGCGTTTACAAGTTTAGTGGTCAGAATTATAAAGCACGAGAAAATGACCCCACCCCCTTCCTGTGTTTCTGCATCCCCCCATAGGACAGGGAGGGGGAGCTAGCGCTGATTGACAGGCTGTTGACCAATCCCCAGCTGTCGTCGGCAGAGTTCCAGGAGTGGAAAAGAGCCTATCAGGAGCTGTTCTCTCAGGAGCCAGACTCGACCACTGAATCAGACCCCGGCCCGCCCCTCACCCCCTCTCTCTCTCACACACACTCGTACATTGAGACCCACGTCTGATGAGTTAACACACACGTTTGAGTTGCTCCGCAAGAAGCAGAAGTTTTGATGTGACAGGGTTGCGATCAGTGATGGACTTTGTTAAAAGAGGAGAGTAAGGACTTGAAATCCTTATACGCTTTCAGCTGTCAAAGTGTCAAAGTTCAACATGACAACTTTCTGAGGAGAAGCCTGTGTGGCACTCATGTCACATAAATCTACGAGCTGCTTGGTTAAGCCATTCCGGCTGGCTCAGGGGTGAACCATAAACCGATTATTACATGTTGGCTTTTATGCTCTTTAAATACTAACTTGACAACATTCCTCAGTTTCTTTCTCCTGATGGACAGAGACCAGAAAAGTATATTCATGAGCCACCATTACCAGTATTTCAAAATGCTTGTTGTGCCATGTTTATACCAACAGCACATAGCCTCATTAACAGTCTAATAGCCACAGAGTGACATGCATTGTATTCTGTCAAGCCTTATACTTGATGTCGATGATTGTCTTTTCTGTACAGTGAGTATTACAACATAGAGGATTAGCACAGGGGTTTTTCAATTAATTAGTCTCAGTTTCTATCTTGTTATAGAGACTTTAGTTGTGCTGGTTTGGTAGAATTACGTACTGTACTTTGCTGGGCTGGACATGAAGCATGCACATTCAAGAGCCTCCTGGTATAGAACCCATTTAAAGGAAAAGTCTACTCTAAAAACTCTTTAAACACCGCTTTCAAACAGCCAGTGATTACTTGTTTTCTTGCACAAAAAGGATATGAGGCCAGTTTCCGTATCATACTGTCACTTAATTTTCACTGTCAGCCTTATTTTACTTTTACTAACAAAGTTTTGTTAATGGTAAAATCTTGATACCATTCATTTAATTTAACATCAACCTCCTTTAATTTTTGTCAATGTCTTTTTTACATCTTTTTGGAGACTGCAACAAGATTGATTCTTATCTCATTTCAGTCTATTAGACTCCTTTCATTTATAAAATAAAAGATGCAATTTTATATTTATACGGGCAAAAAAGGAACATATTTGATTTGTCTAATTCATACATTACATTACTCATATTTACTCATATTGCAACCCACATAACCTATTCATTAACACGATGTATACTGGAGTCTATTAAGGTAAAATACAAAGTTTGAACACCATGATATTTTTTTGAATTTGTATTTCATTTTAGAAGGCCCCACTTGAGTGCAGACAAGATGGCATGCAGGACATACTTTCAAAGGGGACATTTTTTTTAACATAATTTTTTGCTTTAATAGGCAACCTTACTTTAACACTTGAAATGTGGTTACCATGAGAACTACAATTTTACGAGTCAACATAAAGTGGATGGTTTATTCCGCTTGTCATAGAAAGTCATCCTATGAAACACTTAACCACTCTTATTTAATTAATAGGTAAAGAAAATCACAAAATAAGTCCTAAAAGTTTCTGAACATCCACGATTATTCATATTTGATATATAATATAACGTTGTCTCTTGGGTGAATTGTTCCTTAGATACCATTGGGCTCCTGCATTCTGCATGCCATTAAGAGAATATAAGGACATGTTTGCATAGGAAATGAAATATGGAGCTATTAAAAAAATATATCAGTTTGTTATTTGTACGCTGCTGCCAAGTGTCTCAATACTCAGAGAGAATGCACACAACTATGAAAGCAATCATACACACAAATAGAGACAAGCACACACAATAATAAACACACATTTTGACAGTTTGAATGCTCTATCCGTGCTGCTGCCATAGTTGGTTGTAGTAGCATGTCTTTGTTGTAGATAAACACAATATTCCTTTTCTGTTTTTGTGTTTGAAATCTCTAGATACAGTAGGTCTCTCTTTATAGAGTGCAAACTAAGTGTCTTGGATAGTGTTCTCTAATTATATCAGTTTTTTTGGAAAGTTGAGTAAAGATTATTTAATCTATGTTCAATTTCTAAATGACAGTAAAATAACAGTATTCATTTATCATTCTAACTGTTCTGTCGGAAAGGGGTGGATCAATAAAATGTGGTCGTTTGGATAAGGGTGTATTTGTGGTTTGTTTTTGCTTCAGTGAAAGAGAGGAGGTTGACAGGATGATGAGCACCGATAACAGCTGTTGTATCTTCTCTGTCAACACAGGAGGAAGAGAGCGAGTCAATGACACACCAGATCCTTTGGTTTAGAAACTCTACTCTGCTGCTTCTCCCAATTGACCAATCCTAATCCCTGCCAATCTGTCAATAGTACCACAGCTGAACGAAACTAAAACCCGCCTCATTGAGTTGAACATGTTGTCACTATAACAACAAGTTTGACACAGTTTTAAAGTGATTTCAGACAGGGAGTGATTGACTCACCTAGTAGTTAATTTTCATGATGGCGTGGGTGAAATCTCATGACACTGTCCCGCTGCCAAAGTAGACATTAGTGCAAGTACTACCTGTCTATTCACATATTTACAGATACAGTTACACTTGGTGCATGCAATACCAAAAAGATTGAAGATGTGAGTCTCACGAAAAAAGTTACTTACATGTGTACTGTAGTGACAGAAATATATCTGTGTAGATCAAAAGGAGACTGTAATATTCCTCAAATTATATGCATTTTACTTTCCCTCCAACATCATTCGAATTAATTTAGATTCAGACCCAGAACATAGGCTCAGTAGCTGACATCGACAACAGAAAATCATCAAAAATGCTTGAATATCTTTAAGAAAGATAACTAAGGGTGGATGCTGATGTACCAACAGTAATTGCCTTCTGTTTTAGAATGAGTTACATGACAAATGTAGATCTGTAAATAAAAGGATGCTACTGTCTTCAGATAACTAAATAGAGATACAGTAAACAGACAGGGAGCTTATCACTTTTGGAATTCAGTTTTATTGTTTCTTATGGTGAATTTGTATTTTTAACAAAGCTTTTTGTCATTTTTAGATTTTCTTTTACATAAGTATGATAATTACCAATGTGAATATTTAATTGTAGAATGGTGTAAAAAAAAAATACAATCAAATAGAGAAAATGTATAACCAGTTGTCTGTATGTTTAATTTAATAACTTTGCACATTCAAGCATATGATACAATATTTTCGACGTCAATATTCTCTACAGGATGTATAACACCCAATTCATTTTGAATCCAGCATTACCTTCAAACATATAAAAATGATGACGATATTTATTATGTATTTTGTATTTAGATTAAATTGAAGTAAGTACAACGTTCATGAATAAAGAACTCCCTGCAGGTACCAAGCTATTACCCACAAACTTGCATATGATTTTTGTGCTTGAGCTTTTTCCATTTGTTTGTCAGTGGAAATGGAAAACAAGACTGAAAAATATATCTTGATATCCTTGGTTTGCTTTTATTTCTCTATCCACCATGAATAAATCCTCAAGGTTTCAATACTAGTCAATAAACAGGAATGTCACATGCATCTAACCCTTATCTTATATTACAAATTCAGCATAGCTTTGCTGTCAAGATGTCCTCCTCCACCTTCATCCTTTTATCTACTGTTTTGACTTTTCTATTCCCTCCTCCGCAGCCTGGCTCAACCTTTTCCTGAATTCTCATTTGTACGAGAATTAAATTCCCTCCTACTAAATCTTTTTACCCCTCCTCTGCTTGTTCTCATAATCCCCTTTATCTCTCTCCTTAGCTCTTTTTTTTTTCTCCTCTTAGAACACTGTCACATTGGGTCACAGGAATGAACAAAACCCCATAACCTTTACCACCTTTCCCTGTTGCTTGTAATTTTTGGTGATCTAGGACATTTTATTACACAGATTAGGTTGGTTATTTTATATAATATATAGTTACATTATATTACCAATATAATCATCATTATCTTATTTCTTTATCATTTTTAGTAAGTATTTAAGATGCCTACTGTTTTTGTTTTAATAATTATGAATAACTGAATACAAATGTAAATTCATTGGCTGTCCTAACATTGGCTATACTAAAATAATATATCAGCAGTTACTGGGTGAAAATCCACTCAATTATTACAAAGTTACTATTGAGTCTCCTGGACTGTGGTTTAGTACAGTAGAGCAATTGAACACCATCAAAATACATGAAACCAAAATCGTTCCCCTTTTTTAAAATTAAATTTAAAATATGAATGACATATTTTTAACAATCTTGTCTCTTTTTCCTTGGAAAGACAGAGAATAGGAATACATCCCTAAATGTCAAACACAAGAAATATTAGAGTAGCTCAGCTTAGCATAGATCAACACTTGATGCAGAAGGAAACGGATAACCTAGCTCTGTCTAAATGTTCCTTTAAAACTCACAAATAAACACAGCCTTGTTTATATAAACCAATGTCACCCCAACTAGTTTCAAATTTGACAGACCAATATGACACTTAAAGGGGACCTATCATGCAAAATGCACTTTTGTACGTCTTTTATACATGAATATGTGTCCCCGGTGTTCCAGGGAACTCAGCAAGTGTCAGAAAATACAACCCTCTCTCTTTTCCTCCATACCCAAATCTCTAAAAACAGGGCTGCAACGGATTTGATACATGTGGATTCTGATTTGCACCTCTATGATGTCACAGAGGTGCACTCCGCCTGTATGGTCAACTCTCCACCTATCAGGGGAATGAGAGGTTGCCGTGGCATGGCAACAGCATAGCAACAGCATGGCAACAGCATAGTAACATGACGCTTGTGCCTCGCCTCCTCCTTTGCATGGGGGG